CCCCAAAACCCCAAAACCCCAAAACCCCAAAACCCCAAAACCCCAAAACCCCAAAACCCCTTTAAAGAGTCATTTAGTTGAATTAATTAAAAATATCTAAGACTAAAATGGAAGGTGCAGGAGAAATTGCCGAACTATTCCCAGAAGCTCCAACTCTTGAAGATGCTGGAGGTGACCAAGGTGTTCTTGATCACATGCTCAAGTCCAGAGAAGACGGAATCAAGTTCATGGAACTCATGAAGAAAGATGACTGGAAGCCACATACTGACAAAAATGGTGTCGTTCTTGAGACTAGAGAGTATGAGGGAAGTGACCTCTTGATGTCTAAGGTTACCACTGAGGTCAATGTAAGTTACAGTTCTTGATCATGATATTGATACTTGAGGGAGTCTTTTTGGTTTGAACTTGAAGTCTCTTAAAACTCAAGAAAAGGTGTTGGGGAGATATCTCTAAAGTATTTTTGAGAATCCATTATTTGACATTTGCTTTTTCCGTTTAATCTAATTCTTATCTAGGTCAGCGCCACCAACGCCTTGAAAGCATTCAGAGACTTCGGTAAGTTATATATCAATAATAAACATGAAGCTTCTTTAATTGTTACTAGGATTCTTTTGGAGCAATTAAAGAGCTCTTCAATAAAATCTATACATCTTATTGGGGTATCTCCTTAGATATGTTTTCAGAATGAATGAAAAGTTAGCATTTGGTTGATACAATTTCAAACGTGAGAAAAGAACAAGATGCTATGATATCAATTAAATTAGACTGACTTGAAGGTTAGACTATCCTTCAAGATCTTAGATCCTTCTTCATTAGCTGTTCATGATCGTGAGAGAATGAAAACAATAGAGATCAAATTAGGGATGATAGAAAATTTAAAGATTCGATGAGTTGATTAGGCTTGCCTGGATAGAGATGGTATCAATTCTCCAAGATATTTCTTTCAAAATCTCTCTTTGTCTACCCAGTCATTTCTAACCTTCTGTAGATTTGATGAGAAAAGTCGACGGAACTGGAGCCGAAATCAAAGACGTCAAAAGGTAAGCCTTATTCTGAGTCTGTCATTTGTGCAGACTCTTGTTGCCAGCTGTTGGTGCAGCTGGTTTCAGCACTCGGCATAAAACTAACTTGCTTTAGCATTGACAATGCCAACAGATATTACTACTACTGCATCCCATCAATGTTCTTGGTGAGTGCCAGAGATGCCTTCAACTTTGCTCACGAGATCGAGCTTGAAGATGACAGTTACTTGCTCATGCTAATCGGTGTGGATGTCCCAGACTTCGATAGAAACGAATCAGCAGTGGAGATGAAAGTAACCATTATGGGAGCCCACTTCGAAGAACTCGACGATGACAAGTGCCGCATGACAAAGATTGCTCATGTTGACTTGGGAGGCAGTATCCCAACAACATTCATCAACTGGATGATCGGAGCCAACCACACCCAGTGGAAGAACTTGAAGGACGAATTGGAGTCATAATTATGCAAAATGATATTCATTTAACCAATTCCTGTTCCTTACACGGGGTTTTGGGGTTTTGGGGTTTTGGGGTTTTGGGG